TAGTACACTCTGTGTTTTTCTGGTTTTGTTAACTTTTCGTATATTTGAGTGTAAACAATCTATGGAAGTCCAGATAGATGAGATCTTTTCTCTATGTAGGTATTGTACCTGTTAATGTCCATATCTTTCTTCTTTCAATATTCTGAACTTCTTAATATTCATTAGGATGATCTTAAAACCACACATCACTCCCTTACTTTTACTTTTTAAATACGGATATTTTGTCCTTTCAGTTGTGTAGTGCCACCATCAGTGTGCTCCCAGACCTACATATAGCCTTGTATGCTGTTTTTTCGAGACCTGAGGGAGATTTTTCCAATTGTTGCATCTTTCTTCTTCTCCCACTTCAGCTTAGTGTTCTCCAAAACCTTGAATTTTCCTTCACCTCAGTAGTCTCTAATACCATACTCCTATTATAGTTATCCATCCTGCCTTTCTGGTTGTTAAACTAGGGAAAAGTACTTGCTTATAAATAAGTCTGTGTAATAGTTTGTAGCCTTAGAAAGCCGAACTACTAGGGAATAATGACAAGCCCTTCTGAAACTGGATCACTGTTGGTCCGCAGAAAATTAGCAGATCACATTGTTTGACTTATTTTAATTACTGTTTTGAGTTCTGTGACTGATTAAATTATTGGTGAAGCCAAAAATGAGACATTTCAACATGCTTGCTTGACTTCACAAATGACTTTTGTATGAGATGAGTGGAGGAATTACTGGGGAGAGTCTTTGAGCAATATTGGTAGTGCAGCCACCTGTAAATTTGGAAGATACAGAGAATCGAAGAGAAACACTGTCAGCATACTTTGGAAAGTACGAAGATACACTACTAAAGTATGGAGGTAAATTGCAACTAAACGGGGACAAAGGAATAGATGAAATTGGAAATAAGATGAACAATTCATTAATTTATTTCATATGACCCAATAACTCCCTTAAATGCATTTTAAAATAGTTCAGCTGTTACTGTTCCATAAAAATGACTGTTTTGACTGCTTTAATGTCACTTGACCTTGACTGTCTGGGTGGTAGTCTGGGCCTTGTTTACTAACATTCTGAGATATGTTTTGGTAATTTCAAGGATCCCGAAGTGATGTTTCTATTTTGCTTTTGTCTTCTATTCGTTCTAGAAATGCTTTCCTGATTTTGTATCACCATGACCACAGGCATAGTGACACTGGCCATGCTAAATAACTGGACTTTCCATGTAGTAGTACTTGATACCATTTTTTCTACAGAGGGGAAAAAAAGAAAATCTTTCTCGAGGTTTAACTGTACTACATAAGATCTCTTTTTATTGTAAAGGGATTGTTTTTACTGTGGGAATATCAGAAACGCAAAACATTCTCTGACTAAATTTGGCTATCTAGCAATCCTACTATTGTTTAAAAACCTATCAAATTTGAAATAACTCGTCATAAGTTGGACATACTGATTTCTCAATTTTTAACAGGGCAATCATGTAGAAAATAAATAATCAGACAAACAATTTATAACCGTATCATGATCTTATTTTATTTCTTAACCTTACCACTTGCTAGAGAAGATGAAAATTTTAAAATTAAAAAAAAAAAAAGATTGCTAACTTCCTAAAACAAATGAGAGAATGTTGTCTTTTTTACAAGCTGAGTGAACCAGTTTTTGCTGTTGTTCTGCCTTCTTGTTTTATTTGACTTCAGATACTAATTATGATAGTTCTTTTGTTCTGCTGCACTTTGTTACTCTGGGAGAAAGTCTTGGATTCTTAAGCCTTTTTTAGCCATCTGTGGGTGCTTGCATGTGACCATAAATGTAAATATAAGAAATGTTACAAGAACTGTTTACATGGGATTAAGTTACGGTTGCTTCATATTTTTCGAGGGACGGGAAAGGAGAATGTGTGTGGATTTTCTTGGAGATTTTTTTATTTCTTTGTTTTCTTCACCTCTGGCTTTTGAAGCCACTTCCATTACTTTTCTTGGCTTAACTAACTTTTCTTCCTTTTTAAGGAAAAGCTGATGGAAAAGTTCCATATACAGGCTTTGACGCAAGGAATAGATAGGTCTTGGATTTCTTCTTCTTGAATTCATGTTTCTTTTTCCAAGTCTACATGTTCTCACCTTTTTTTTTTTTTTTAAGAAAACAACTTACCTGTTTCAGTTCCATGTCTGGAAGTACATTTAAACTTCAAACCTGGTGATTTATATACAAAGTGATTTGAAGTAATAGTTAGAGTAAGGAAACCTGTGGGGGCCAGGGCATGGATGGAAGGACCCTGTATGCAAAACTGAAAATGTTTTTGTTGTTTGTTTTCCCTTACTTTTTTTCATTGTTTTTTTCAGAGTTTTGGTGAAGGTGTACTGCACTCTATGAAGTCGCTGCTACACAGCAGAAAAGAGTTATGCAATGTATCGACAGAGGAATGTCGAAATCGGGAAGATCAAGATCATTTTATTGAGGTTTGGCATAACCTGACCATTTATATATATTTTCTGGCTATGATAGAAAATGATTTACCTTGAAGCAGTATGGGAAGTTGCAGGATAGTAAATATGAACAATGTGGCAAGTTACTGGCTGCAAAATCTGTACCCCCTGTTACCATTCTTGAATTTAGTCACTGTAGTCATGAAAAGAGCTTTGACATTTCAAGATGACATTTCTCTGCTTTGCAGGACTTGTGAAACTGAAAAATGAAAACATGTAGATAGATGATTTTGTAAGAATTGTGTAACTGGGTGTACTGGATTTGTGAGCACTCCTGTGATCCAGATTGTATGGATGATGTCCTAACAAAGTAGCAGAACTTTTTGATCCAGGTCTGAAGCTAAGTTAAAGTGATTCCTTGTTTGCCCTGTGCTCAGCACTAAAAGCTGAAGCCTCACCATTGCAGATCTGGACTTCTTTTACATGAATGCTGATGGGCCAAAAGCTGGACAAGGTCTGGAGAGAAGAGAACTAGACCTGGACAGAATGCAGGACTGTCTAGGTAAATCTCAAGCCGTGAGGAGGAGTTTACTACAGCTGTTTTAATTACCAGACTAACAGCAGCTTCTCCAAAGGGAAAAGAAAAACGTAAGAACCAATGTGTACCATGTATCTCGTATTAAGTATTTTAGAAGACTCCTAAGTAGTAGTTGACAGGCCTTACAAGGAGCTTAGAGGAGAGGGTGACCTGAGCTGGCCAAGCATAGGAGCTGAGGTAAGAGGAAGTGAAGCAAAATAGACTAAGGAAATTGTTAGGG